CCCCAAAGCATAATGTTTTCACCTCCGTGCTTGACTGTAGGGATGGTGTTCTTGGGGTCATAGTCAGCATTTCTCTCCCTCCAAACACGGCGAGTCGAGTTAATGCCAAAGAGCTCAATTTTGGTCTCATCTGACCACAGCACTTTTTCCCAACCCTTTTCTGAATCATTTAGATGTTCTTTGGCAAACTTTAAATGGGCCTGTACATGTGCCTTCTTGAGCAGGGGGACCTTGCGGGTGCTGCAGGATTTCAGTCCATTGCGGCGTAGTGTGTTACCAATGTTTTGCTTGGTGACTGTGGTCCCAACTGCCTTAAGATCATTAACAAGCTCCTCCCGTGTAGTTCGGGGCTGATCCCTCACCTTTCTCATGATCATCCTTACCCCATGAGGCAAGATCTTGCACGGAGCTCCAGACCAAGGCCTATTGATGGTTGTTTTGTATTTCTTCCATTTTCAAATAATCGCACCAATAGTTGTCTCCTACAAGTGGTCTTGTAGCCCATTCCAGCCTTGTGCTGATCTACAATCTTGTCTCTGACATGCTTTGACAGCTCTTTGGTCTTGCCCATGGTGGTGGGAGAGGTTGGAATGGAAGATACAGATTGTGTGGACAGGTGTCTTATACACCTAACGAGCTGACATTAGGAGTAACTTCTCAAAGTGACAGGACTAATCTGTGCTCCACATGGGCACATAACCAGTCTGTGGAGCCAGAATTCTTGCTGGTTGGTTGGGGATCAAATACTTCTTTCACTCACTGAAATGCAAATCAGTCTCTAACCTTTTATATAATGTGTTTTTTCTGGATTTTTTTTGGTTGGTGTTCTGTCTCTATCCGTTAAAATAAACCTACCATAAAAATTACAGTCAATCAGCAGGGGATCAAATAAATATTTTTTCCCACTGTACATTGCCTATAAAAACAAAAGTATTTAACAAAATTTGTGGTGACAGTAATGCGTTTACAATGGAGGCACACAGAGTCAGGTGATAAACTTTAAAACACCGTTTCAAAAATACGACTGAAATGATACGAGAGAAATGAGATAGAATAGAGTGCTACTACTGATGACGTATTTTTGTAGGTCAACCCGGAAATTAGCATCACCCTGGCTCTCTCAACATAATGCCAATAGGATTTTCCATTGGCTGAATTATTGAATTATTAATAATAATAATGATAATAATATATGAATTATTGCAGAAAATAAGCTCTGTGACCAGCAAAGGGTTTATGATTCTTACACATTATATTCATCATGATAATCTTCTCAAATGAACATGTCACTCCTAATTGCTAGAAGTAAAAAGCGTAGGTTATAAATAAACTACACCACAGTCTCGTGATTTCAACGCGACTGTATACATCGTGATTTTCACCCTCAATAAACTTCTCACTACTCTATCAGTCTAAAAACATTCCCTGAATGCTTGAGTTCATCTTTTGTTCGAATAAAACAAACAAGGCTGTGAAAGCTGGCTAGTGAGTAGATGAGTTTTGATGGAATCTATTTTGGCCTACAAAAATATGTCATCCCTGCAAAGTCACTAAGACAAAAGCAGTAAAGCCAGTACCCTGTTTACTTTCATACTATAACAGCGGTGACATCCTGTATCTGTGTGTAAAGCACTGTTTACATGCAGCAAACCCTGCCCACAGGAACATCACTTTTAAATGTCAAATAGCACATTTTTATGACCTTTTTGTATGCACCAATAGAAAAAGAACAGTACCTTTTAACACGCCAAACCACCCACATGCAAATATTCCAAGAAATAAAGAGGACAATGACATGCCAGCTATAGGAATTCAGTTTACTGAAACATCTGCAGGACTCTAGCATTTCCTTATACAGCAAACATGTTCACAATGTAGATTACTTTAATTGCATCCTGAACATGCACCATTCATGCTGATGAAACTGTATAGGGCTGTGATTGTGTCCAGTAACTGAAGAAATGGCATCAGATTTCGTGTGAAAGCGAAGGAGGCCAGCTGAAATGTTTTCCTGCGATGCCGCAGGTCACACCCAACATCCTCCTTTTACAACCATTTCTAAATAATCTCTATTTACCTCCTCCAACTGCCATCTCAGATAAACTCACTTGATATTCTCTAGTTTACTGATGCTTGAGAACATTGCAAAATAACAAATAATAGGTTTTTGTTTTATTTGGACTAATCTGTTCAGAGGTATTCATTGATGACTACTTTTGCCATTTTCTCACAAATTGAGATTTTCCTTGACTATTACTTCATGTGGTTCAGTAGTGTGTCAAAAACTATTTTTCTTTGTTTAATTTTCAAAGCAGTTTTCATAAAATAACTGTGCAAAAATCCGTATATATTTCTATAAATGTCAAAACACTAACGATCTCCATTCTTGTTTCAGTCTGACTATGGGGCAGCTCTACGAAAAAGAAAAAGATGAGGATGGCTTTCTGTACGTGGCCTACAGTGGAGAAAACACGTTTGGATATTAGGATCCCTGCATCATCCCAGGCTGTGCAAACACATCACTCCCGTTTCTTTTGGACTCGCTCGATTGTTCTGCGGTTGGGAACAGGATCGACTCATCTGTGAATTAATCACATAGCAGATGTGTTTGTACCTCTATTGTCATATTGTGCTCTTAAACATTAGATCGACTCCATTAGTGATTTTTCTTCTTTTGGTGAATGGTGTTGCAGTATTATTACAGATGCTTAATAATGTCAACACTGAGAATATATAGTAACTTTGAATGTTTTAATTTATCTGTATTTTTCCCCTGTAAATTATATATTTAAGATAACTGAAAGGTAAGGTAGCTGGATGACCTAACCAATAAAAACCAACACCAAAAAATAAATCGTCAATATGATTTATTAAGATATACCCACTATTTCAAGGAATATTTAAAAAAAAACAAAAAAAAAACACATTTAAAAAAATGTCTTCTTGACATCAGTCATACAGGTTTGGAAAAACATAATTCTTTTCCCCTGTAATATATTTAAGATAACTGAAAGGTAAGGTAGCTGGATGACCTAACCAATAAAAACCAACACCAAAAAATAAATCGTCAATATGATTTATTAAGATATACCCACTATTTCAAGGAATATTTAAAAAAAAAACAAAAAAAAAACACACATTTAAAAAAATGTCTTCTTGACATCAGTCATACAGGTTTGGAAAAACATAATTCTTTTAATAATATAAACACAAACCTCATGGACCAGAACATATACACTAAAGGTTTGCATCCCAGTGTAAGCTTTAAGGCAAAGTTCACCTGATACTGAAAACTCACCTGTTACTCTTTATCATATCACAAATGCAAATAATGACCAAGGGCTTTCAGTCTAAACACACTATGAGAGTGTTCTACAATAGCTTTTCACTGAAAGTCTTCCCCTCTGTCGCAGCACATTCAAACTTGGTTGGTGATGAGACATTTGAAGACCAGTGGTGTTTGGCATCAATGATATCAATGAGATTTGAGAGCTACGGCAGTGGAAAATCTTCAGTCAATAACGACTTAAATTTCAGTGCAGATGTTTCTCACACAAACATACTGTATGACTTGGAATGTAGCACAATAGTCATATGGCCATTTTTGGTTTATAGCCCCTGGTCAATATATGATTTTGTTGCATGGAAAAGAACATAGTGTGCCTGCTAACATGGCAACCAGAGTAAGTCAGTTGTCAAAATCTTATATTTTAGTTGCTTTTACAGTTCTGGGGCCTCATTTATAAAATGTGCATATGCACAGATTTGATCCTAGAGTGTGCGTACGCTAAAATCCATGGCAACGTTCACATTTATAAAAACGGTCTTTGACGTGGAAAAGTACTTACAGCCACGTCAGGGTCTGAGCAGGCGTACACACTTTTCCTTGTGGCAAAGTCGGAGTACTGCAGCTATTTGAACATCTAAGCTGCAATAATAATAAAAGCTTCTTTCAATAATGTTTTTTAAAGTTTTGCAAGAATTTTGTGATACTAAACTTTTTATTAGTTGTCATAGCAAGTGATTTTAAAAGTAGGATGGCTTACTTTTTTATAAGATGACATAGTTTAGTTTATTCTTACTTTTGGAAACCTAATTGTTTTATTATTATTATTATTATTTCGGTTGTTTCTAGAAGTAGTAATTTTGATAATGATCAATAGAAAAAATATAACCACACACACATTGTTTGTACACAGAATAATTACACATTCTTATGCGGTGTACGTGCAAGCACCGAATTCATCATGAACAACAAAGATGCAGTGTAAGAGATTAATTGTGCAGTGTAGTCAAGATTTTTTTATTAACGGGAGTTTTTTAACGGTTTTAATATATTCTATTCAATAACATTGTTAACTGTTTTTATTTATAACATCTGCTTTGCTTCTGTGAAAGTGAATAGAGACATCAGCCTTAAACTTTGTTTTTGTCATTTACATCAGTTATATTTGTATAAAATACACTATATATTTTTGTGTCAGTACATTACATTAATGGCACATATGAGCAACATTAGTAAACTGTAAATATAAAGAAATGCCAAATCACATGCAGGTTTTTTTCAGACCGGAGACCAAGACCATAATAGTGTAATAATTTATTTTATTATGATGTGAAACGTCCAATTTTTCTTTCAATAATGTTTTTTAAAGTTTTGCAAGAATTTTGTGATACTAAACTTTTTATTAGTTGTCATAGCAAGTGATTTTAAAAGTAGGATGGCTTACTTTTTTATAAGATGACATAGTTTAGTTTATTCTTACTTTTGGAAACCTAATTGTTTTATAATTACTAGTGATGTGACGTTTGACACCGAGGCTTCGAAGCTTGTATAAAAAAAAAAACGAAACATCTCACAGTGAAGCACAGTACCGGAGCTTGATTCATTTTGCCAAAACCACGTGATTTTGTCCTTTGTGTTACAAGCTCTTGGCGCATAAAGAAGATCTGTAAAGTAGCAAAGACTAAAGTCTCAAAAGTCTCAAAT